GCTAAACAAGCAGTCTCACGAGTGTTATAATTTCGGACAATACACTACAGGTTGCTTCAAGTCGTATTTCCCTCATTTCAAAATGCAACGATCACGACAGCTGCATGAGTAATCATGATAAGCAGGAAACTGACTGCTGACTTTGCTGCACCAGACCTCTCAGCGCTACAAACATTTTTAGAACACTTGGTCAGACTGGAACATGGTCCGTTGTAACTTAACTTAGCTTGCACAAACTTGGTGAGCGAGCACTGCCACTTGTATCCGGTCGGAGCAAGGACGTCCTTTACGCTTTTGGCATCGCTGAAAGAACAAAATTTAAAACCAGCAGGTATGATGAGATAGGATTTCTGATGAAATGTAACGACTGTTGCCTTGCTCCGTTCTTGTGTGATACTGCCGGAGATTGTCGCTGTAGTGGATGCACTCACTTGCTGAGCGACTTCCCCGCTCACCTGAACAGTGGTCGTTGTCTTATCGATAAACGACGTGGAAGTGGACACCTCGAAGACGCAAGTGCCGTTCGTCCCGCCGGGACACGCAGTGGAGAATGCCTCGTCGGAGCATTCAATCCCGGGTCGTTCTGGTCCCGACAGATCATCGCAGTTGTAGACCGTCCACTGTACTGTGCCGTCCGATAGAAAATTGACGCGTATTTGGTTAGCAGCTTCTCCCCACGCCAACCGCTCTTTAGAGGAACCACAGAACCACGTCGCCTCAGAATGAGATCCCGTCAGCTTGATTCGAATATCTTCGCTTCGTTTGTAAACCTTTTGACTTGCAATTGTGATCACGGACGAACTTGAACACTTGTCACTGGTGAATTCGATTTCCTTACACTGAGCGGCTGCAACAACTCGGAGCATCGAGACCAAAACAACTGATACAATTCCGAGTGTGGTCAAGGTCATCGCCATCGTCGATTTAAGATTATCTAGCAGTGTATAAACTAAGATGTTGTCGTCCTTCCAAGTTCAAGGTGTTCTGTTTTCGGTGTTCTATGTTCGGGTGTATTTATGCGGCTTTTTTACGAAGTATTTTAAGGCGTAGTTTCCCCCGAACAGGAAGAAAATACAAGAGTGTTATCTATTTGCGTGCGTGTAATATAATTATCGAATTCCGGTCCGGTCGCAGTAATCTAGTCAAGTTATCTTTTATTGACTAAAAACACCTTTTGTTTTTCATTAAACAAAATACGACACTAAAGAGAAGTGTATATATATGGTAAAAACATAACATTACACGAAATAACATCCTGTTAGTTACAACTTTTTGTTAGTTACAACTTTTTGTTAGTAGTACGAGGTAAAAACTATACTAATGCCATGCAGGAATTTTGCAAACCGATTGAAATACAAAATGTCGGACGTATTTTCGCGGTTTTCTTAAGATAAGTATTTTAGGGGTAGTTTCCCCCGAATATAGGAAGAAAATAAGCGTGGGATCTATTTGCGTGCGTGCAATGTAATTATCGAATTCCAAATTTTCCCACCCTATTGTAATGATCAAAGTATGTTTTATTGGCTAAAACAGCGACCTTTTGTTTTTAAACTAAAAATAAAATAGAGAAAAAATGAAAGTGCACGACATTACTAATGATTCCAAAAACATATAACAGTTCACGAAATGATAACCCTGTTAGTTTATAACTTTTTGTTAGCAGTAATATAGGTGCATTTCAATAATCACATGGAAATATCATAACAGTATTGCCGATGGTAAAAAAAACCTACTGTATATTTCCTCCGCTAAACCGTAGTTCACTTTAGTTCTCGACAGGAAGACGCATTCTGCGCATCATTCAGACAGAAAGACACATTCTGCGTTTTATTTATAGACCAGACGCCCTGGTACACATTACACATTATGATTTTGTGGTATTCAGAGAGGCGCTCGGGTTTAATAATACACAGAAATAAAACCAAACAGTCTTTTATACTTTAAATGTGCTGTAGAAGAGAAACACTTGAAATATTATGAGTTTGCGTATAAACATCAATGCATGCATGGACATGAAATGATAGAAATATAGTTATAATTGTTTCATAGTTATTATAATTGTCCATTAAAATGTCAAATGGCCAAACTAAAATGTCCATTGCACATTTTAAATGTCCAATCTTCCAGTGGACAAACTGAAATGTTCAATCGTCCAGTGGACAAACTGAAATATTCAATCGTCCAGTGGACAAACTGAAATGTCCAATCTTCCAGTATAGACAAACTGAAATGTCTAATCTTCCAGTATAGACAAACTGAAATGTTCAATCGTCCAGTGGACAAACTGAAATGTCTAATCTCCCAGTGGACAAACAGAAATGTCCATTGGACATTCTGTATGTCACGATCGTCCAATGGACCAATGGACAGTGTCCATTGGCCATTTCATATGCTAACTCCTATCCACATGTCCCGCTTTGGAAGTACTTCATATTAGCTTGCATTAGCTATAGGTGGCACTAACACAGTATATGGGGTATACAGTATATGGAGTATACAGTATACACAAATTTCCAATGGACATTTCAAATGTCCATTGATCCGTTGAATGAACTGGATGTCTACTAATGTCCATTGGACAAATATGAAATGCATACATTGGACTTTTCCATTCGTCCATTGGACATGATGTATATTGGACATGTATGAGAATTTGTAAGTTAATCGATTTAATCTAATACCTATAAAATCTCTTTCTTGAGTTATATTTATCATTTAAAGACCCGGCGCGAGGGAGCCATGGCGAAATATTACCTGTGATAATATTTCCCAAGAGGATTAAAGTGGCACTCGCGTCAAAATTTTTATTTTCTTAAACGAAAATGCTCTTAAAACTGCATAGTGAGTTGTTATGAAGATTTTTGTTCCCATGCTTAGTTCTTGAGATATATTATCTTGTTTGTAACAATGTGACGTCAATGACTCAATTACATATATAATGAGATATTAGTAATTGTTGTGTATCTTTGCAATTTTTTATCAAATCTTTTCAAAGATGCGGCGCGTTTCTTAATTTAACCTACATCATTAAGCATACTGGGTTTTTTTAAACAAATCCATCAAAAACAGCAAAGATACACAACAATTACTGATGTCTCATTATATATGTAATTGAGTCATTGACGTCACATGGTTACAAACAAAATGAAATATCTCAAGAACTAAGCATGGGAACAAAAATCTTTAAATCAAGTTACTATACACTTTAAGAGCATTTTCGTTTAAGAAAATAAAAATTTTGACGCGAATGATATATTATAGATACAGCCTAAATGGTATATTATACCGAAAGTTAAAGAACCCACTGAGAATAAACTTGTTGAATAACTAAGTGAATACAATGTTTAATTTTTTATTTATACTCGAGTTTTTGACGTTCCCCCTTCAAAATATTTGAACCTGTACTCTTTGGATCATTGAGCGTAACATACTCCTAATATTCACATGAAAACCTGCAAGAAATCCTTAGCTCTCGAGTTTTTTTTTATTTGTTCCTACAGTGTACAGTCGACATATTCAGTAAAATTATGCTACGCGCGTGTTCGGCGAGGGATACAATCTTCCACGGCAGATCTGCCGTGGTATATTTATCACTTACTTACTGAGACCGAGGGAAACAGTGTGTTTTGTGGACCCGAGACCGTCGAAACATCGACGGTCGAGGGTCCACAAAACACACTGCTTTCCCGAGGTCTCAGTAAATAAGTGTTTTATTATATATCAATAGTCGAAGAATCAACAAATTAAAGAACAAATGAACGTAAATACATGAAATATTTTATTGTTAAAACGTTATATTAAACACTGGCTACACTGCAGTTAATTAAAGCGAAAGTTTTAATTACGTACTAGGCATGTACAAAGGTCGCATCTTCACGTGATGGCGCACGTGATTTTTTTTGTTATTCGCCGGTCGATAACGTAATATAGAGAGGTTAAGATACCCCGGTTCCGATATACGGATACGAGTATCGCCATTTTGTTTACCAATTTTTGCTGATGTCAGCATTTTTACCCGTAATTTCTACCCGTTTCCCCGCGGTAAACCAAGGTCTACACGTAAAAGACAAACAGGTACGGGTGTTTTCTGTTTACTATATGTGGGCCGTTTAAATAGTAAAAATTTTCAACATCTTACCCAAATAAATAATGCATATATGCTCGTCAAAATTTTCAACAATTTATGCGAACCTCAACAGCGAAAGTTACCATTCTCTGATCGGTTTTCGCACGCCGGAATATCTTGGATTTCTTAAGTTACAAGTCGTTCCCCGATTTACGGGTACGGGTATATCACCCGTACCGGTAAACCGGAACCGGGGTATCTTAACCTCTCTAATTATCTCCCTCTCGCGCTGTTGCGAGGGAGACAGCCTAATTTCGTCACTCTCACGTGATATGCTCTCAACCAATAAAACACTAGAAAAATGCGACTATTGATATATAATAAAATGATATATCCCGCTGTATTGCGTAATCATGGAATTGGGTTGAATGCAATCATACTGTAATTATTATGGTAAGAAAGTATCGTAAGGCCAAGAAAGTAAAAGTTACACAGTATTGTAATGGAGGAAAATAAACAACCACAAACTGCATTGTAAACAAAACGTCGGGGGAGGGGGGATAAAAAAATAGTCCAGCACACGAGCACTGCTCGCAGGGAATGTTAAACAGCTCCAGGAAATTTGTTGTAGATTTGCAAGTTGAAAATTTGACGGAAACCCTAACACGTATGTCCTAACATGGGCCCAAAAAATTATGATTGACAGGCATCTTTCCCTGAACTTAAACCCATGGTCAACTAGGACACTAGGCGTTGACACATATTTAGCGCAAAAAAGATTACTTTGTTAGTCTGCAGGACATTTTTATCTCCAGGTTGTGCTCCCAGGAGGAAAATTATTTTCTGCAGTCCTGAATAACGTTGACTAAAAATAGATCGGGATAAAAATCAACGCAACACATTAGCAATTCGGTAAATATCTAAAACACTTAAAAATCTTACCTCCATATGGACTTTTTATCCTGTGGATATTTTGTCAAATTTCCGAGCAAGGCATAAATGGCAGCATGAAGACAAGCACGAGTTGACAGTTGACAATGAGAAAGAAGTTCACGCACGGCATCTCTGATTTCCCACGAGTAATCCTCCAATACACCCAAGATAGTCTCCAATTGATCTTCCCTCAGCACAACATGGCGACTGATCTTTCTCAAGCTATGAATGGCATTCAAACGAACACTTTCAATCTCGTCGTTAAACATATCGACGAGAAAATCGAGAGATTGTCGTGCAAAATCGGGATGTTGATCAGCAAGTTCACACAGAGAATCCACTGCTGCAGAGCGAACCTAATAACGGTGACAAACCTTTGATCAGAGTTAGTATTACGATGTACTACCACAAGTACTTCCGTAATCACTCTATCACAGGTAAGTTCCTCCTCTGAAAATCGCAAGCTCTAATAAGCCCCACTTTTTAGATCATAAATTAGGCCTACGCTCAAAAAGGCCCCTCCTCCATTCTATGATTAAGACCCATTTTTACACACGTAAAAATCTCATAACTCGTAAACAAGATGTGTTCGCAACAGGCTTGTAGCAAGGTTCTCAACAAGTTGTAACAATGTGTTATTTTATTATTATACTACTGTACAAGGTCGTCACTCACAACTTGTTGACAAATTGTTGAGTTGCAGGACGAGAACAAGTTAAGTTGTTGGAACAACTTGTAATAGGTCTGTTGAGCTCAACAACCTTGTAAGAAGTTGTCAACAAGCCGGGAACAGACAATGCAACACACATCTTGTTGAAAGTTGTTGGAACAGCATAGTTACAAGTCTGCAGCCGGTTTTGTATAGCTTGTGCGTTTTTACGTGTGTACATGAAGAAATATATTAAGCCCCCTCTCTAATAAGCCCCCTCTCTAATAAGCCCCCTCTCTAATAAGCCCCCTCTCTAATAAGCCTCCTCTCTAATAAGCCCCCTCTCTATTAAGCTGCAATTCAAGAATGCGGTCGTCCACCCAAGGAATACATTTCCCAATTCAGATCACGTGATGTTTACTTGTTTTATCAATCTTTATCTTTATGTATTTTATATTTGAACATGAATGACAAAATGTATAATTGATTAAATACTGTATAATAAGTAAACATTACATGATCTGAAATGCAATTTGCACGTGTGAACCAACCTCCAACAATTCGTCCTCAAGGCCATAAACGAAAGCACCACAAGCTCCACTGTCAATCAGAGACACCTCTTCCGGATTCACTTCCGCAGAAGAAGCAATGTGCTTCGATGTCCTTGTCGCCCATCTTTCACTTCCTTTCAATCCAGAGGCATGAAGTTCTCGTTGCTGCTCATGATCTGTCTTTTTTCTCTTTAAAGACGATTTAAATAACATTTAAGTTTGTTCTTGTTATTCTCACTCTTGTCATGGTCATCATTATCACGTGCAATTAATAGATCAGGAAGGTTGAGGAGAAATATTTTAACGAGACGCGCGGTTTGGTTCCAGAGCAGATCGACTCATGAGTTTGGAGAAAGTACTTTAATTTACATTAAGTTGTTTTAATTCTTCAAGGAATATTTTATCGAAAAGTTTGGCAATATTTTATCGGCGAGTTTTGTTGAAATTTAGGTCTTGCCCAAGTTAGCCCGGCGTCACAGCTGCCTACCTTTGCGTTATTGATAGTGGGTAATATTTATCACTTATTTACTGAGACCGAGGGAAACAGTGTGTTTTGTGGAACCGAGACCGCCGAGGGCAACAACGGCGGTCGAGGGGCCACAAAACACACTGCTTTCCCGAGGTCTCAGTAAATATATAAGTGTTTTGTTATATAGTATATAAGTGTCAAAGTATGAATAATTCACCGGTTATTGGAGTGAACTTAATTTGAAACCAAAACTGGATAAATGGAACGCCGTAAATGTTTAGTAAAAAGTTTAAAAAATGAACTTTGGAACTTCATGGTTGACACGCATGCGTATTGCATCCATTTTATTATTGACCGGTCAATAAATGTTTCATTTTGGACCGGTTGCCGAGGATGACGTTTTGTGGACCGGCACGTGATACGGTTTTGACCAATCGGTAAACAGAAAAATTGAACTTTGACACCAACTATATAACAATAGATGATATACGAAATGGGTTCAACGAAATGGCCTGAAAATCGACGAAGTGAAGTAAATGACACAGTAAACAAGTAAGTCCACCAATATTTTGAATCAGTGCGTATTTAGGCAATATTTTTTGCAGTATTTTACAATATATAAAGTGTATATTATATCGCATTTTCATGATGTTTTAATATCATTATATCAAACTAAAACCACACCCAAATCACACAGACTACATAAAGGAAACTATAAGTAAGTTATACTTTATAATTTAAAGTAAATTTTTAATTCAAAATATAATCGAATTAAAAAATAAATACAGTAAATACCCACACAGAGCCTGGGCCACCTGTGAGTATACTTACTTTAAGATGTGACATGACCTTTTTGTCCAAAGTTTGTTGCAAATACCGTGCACTAACGAGATGCAAAGATCCCAGTAAACCAGCAGCTTGAACTCTTACTTTCATCGAAAGATCGTTTACCATCTGACAAATTCTGACAAATGCATCGTCTACACATCTTCGTTCATCAGACGTTGCTGATATTATGGCCCTAAAATAAAACGGTTAAAAAAGAGACTATTGAAACTCGATAATACCTTTCCCCGATTTAACCAAACACGTATTCCCATTGCAGTACAATTGAATATGTAGTTTATCTGGTAGGAAATAGTTCATGCCCATGGTCTTAATCGCGATATTTTGCGATAACCGAGTTCAATAATAGTTTTACTATTCACTATATAGGTATGTCTTATACATTCTCTACATGTAACATGTGATATTTAAACACGATTCAGATAACTTGATTAAAGGTTTAAGGTGCAAATAAAATGAATCTTTTTTATGTATTGGCCAAGTCAAATATACAGTATAGCCCAGTTCCAAATTAACGAGGAACTTTCGTTTTGTCCTTGGGATATTTGGCTATAATTTAGGGATGTGCCGGACAGCCTATCGGATACTTGTCAGGGGAAATGCTTCACTATTTTTTCTCGTAATATATAGCCCATTATTTTACTATGCGCCTTATCTCTTTATACCATAAGCATAAATATCGGCTAATCTATATAGCAGAGAGCAGTTCACTTCATGGAAACTTTTTCTACATTCCAAGCAATATTATTCGTATTCCGTACAAAAAAGGACAAAGAAAACATTTTGTCGGCGTCATGATTCTTATAAAAGTTTCAGTACTATCCGGTAAATATGGCCGGATATCGGAGACTGCATGGTATCCAGATCCGGCATATCCCTATTTATTATACTGATGGACAATGGTGTTTTACTGGAAACTAAAACACTCGAACAACTCATACGTCACTACTTCCGGGACAAGGTGCGCGTATTTTCCCTATTTCACGCCGCCATTTTCATTGTTGTTGTTTTGAAAATACAAATGGTCTTTGGTTCGTATATAAAACGAAATTAACGTTGGAAATAAAACGAAAACATTTGACAAAACGAAGACATCTTGAGATAAGTAAAATTTATTCTAGTTTTATGTTAACTATAATTTTAAAAAATATCGCTTTTATAGCTATACTGGTCTTTCGCATGCTTACTTACATGTCGTCTTTGTGTGCATTTTTTGTCACTCTGAGCTGTGATTAAACGGTTGCGAGAAGATATGGATTTATGTTCTCGTGTCAAAAACAATATCTCACTCGTTCGCTGCGCTAACTCGTGAGATATTGTTTTCTCTTCGCAACCGTCTAATATTCTCTATATATATTACGATTCATATTCTAGACGCGAAATATGCAAATAAATATGCAAATAATAGACAAGTGATCATGTGGTGTTGCTCGTATACAATTAAGTTTTTGACAAACTTGCACGACAGTAAGTTGACGGGCAATACTGGCAAAATTTTCACTCGTATGCTCTTAATCTTTAATTCTATACTTGCATGCCATCACATGGTTGCCCATATACTTATACTTTTATGTAATAAACCATGGATAATAAAATAAATGGATAGGAAAGCAGGGATGGATCCAGCATGATCTGGTAGGGGGGGGGGGGGGGGAAAATTTTTGACAACTTTTTAGGCAAAAAAATTTTCCAGACGAGTACGTTGCAATTGGTTTCCAGTGACTTTACCCATCTAGCAACATGTTCCACTTCTGCAAAGTCTTGCTTGACTACAGTATTTGAATTGTAATTGTTGTTCACAGTTCGCTTTAATATCATCATGTTATTGCTCAAATTACTGAATCTCATTTTGTCTCTAATAATTTTTTGCTTTATCATGAAAAATAGCACCCCCCCTGCACCCCCTGGCCATAGCTAGGGGGGGGGTGACCTAATGTTTTCAATGGACTGATGGCGTGATTGGATGTTGAAACCTAGTTGTAAACCAAATTCTCAAAAACGGCATGTTTAGCAATAATACAGCTAAACATTTTAGTCAAAGAGCAAATGAATATAACTACGCCATTCTACAATGAAATCTCTAAGTATTCCCAGTCAATTTTAGCGAATATTTCAAGCACTAAACAGTGAAAAATGCATCCCAAAATTTCGTTAAAATTGGGGACGTCAATTTCGTAGCTACTAATGTAAAAAAATACCAAACAAAGACGAAAAACATTTACCTTGAATACTTTGTTGTGGCTTAGGCGTGTTTTTGAAACAATTAGACCAGTTCATGCTTCAATATTACTCTTTAAAGCAGAAAGTCTAGCGAAACAACAAAAATGCCGAGAACTTTGCAATACGCGTGACGTCACAGATTGCAACTAGGTTGTTTTTGCTTACGTCAGCTAGAGTCCTATCCATTTATTTTATTATCCATGAATAAACGAAGCAAACTCGTGTATTTAATTACCACTCACCGTTCAGGATAGATTTGACTAACAACCCAGAGAAGTTTGACAGCTTTCAGGCGAACTTCTTCATAATCATCACGCAAGGCTTCACAAGCACTACCATATACACCTGGTGCAAGCTGCATTTTATCTATTTGCAGAGCTGTGCGGTTAACCGAAAGATTCCGTCGGTACAGTTTCTTCTTTAAATTAGTAACCGCAAGTCGGCACCAGGCATGCACAAAAGAACCTGCATGTAATTTTTGGTTCTCTATACGTATCCCTGCTTCGTGTCGGAAAAATAACAAAATGTCTGCGCAAACAAAGACATTTCTTTGTTCATAATTTTGGTTAGAATATTTTATTTCACAAGTCTATCCTATATTTAACAAGTATAAAATATTTCCCGTGTTGATATACAGTTTTATATAATACCTTATAGAATTCTGATCGTTTAATTGGCTGTTTATGGTCACGTGATATTGAATAGAAAATTCCACTTCCCAAGAGTGCAATGGAATACGTTCCATTGCACTCTTGCGAGTGCAATTGTACTATACGTTTTATTCCATTGCACTCTTTGTGTTTTCGATAAATCGCATCCGTCAAAATACTTCTCGTACGGTGATCGCAGTTTATTTTAACCCGATATTCGAAACTCAGTAAATGGGATTTAATGCAAATACGACTCGTCATAATGGAGGGAGCTTACAGTAAACCTTTTAATATTAGTCTATTTTGGTATTATACTGTATAAAACAAATAATGAATGTTTTTATTCGTACAATGGTAAGAATATTTTCATTTGGTGAAAGATGGAATGTTCCATTCAACTCGGCTGTCGCCTCGTTGAATGGAACATTCCATCTTTCACCTCATGAAAATATTCTTACCATAGCCCGCGTGCAGGCCCAAGGGAGCAGGCTCAAGGGAACTTGATAGTGGGCCTGCAAGCAAGGCCCGGTATTTTGTACTTGATTGGCTGTTTGCTGTTAGATTCTGTATTCTGATTGGCTGTTTGCTGTTAGATTCTATAATTAGATAAGTGATTCATCACAAAGGCTCTCGATAAGCTTAAAATTCGAAAATTGATCATTTTTTCGATTATAAATGGAACAAGAACAGACTGTTTATTGTTTACTTGAAGGAAGAGATGTTTTTGCCGTTATGCCAATGGGGATTGCTTGTCGTGAGGCGTTGGAATAGCACTCATTACAACTGGGGTAAACTATAGTAACCTTCACTTGAGTTTCATTAATTTCAAACAGACTTGATACGTTATATGTTCCTCAAGAAAATTATCTTTTGGTTGATGTTGAGATGCAGTTGCATGTAAGCCTGTTCGAAACACTTTGCCGCCGCCAACAAGAATTGCACACACGATCTGATAAGTGAGGCAATTTATTTATAACAATGCCAATGGCGACAGCGAAGCACACATAATATAAATGCTAATGTGGTCGCACGACTTCCCTCATGATTTGAAGTTTGAGACTGGTTTTCTGTTGAAATTCGTCCTAATTTGTTAGTTAAAACGCTGCCATTTAACATTGTTTATGTTCTGAATAAGCAGAGAAAACCCCGCAACATTTTAATGCGAGTTTGTTTGTTAATATTTGGGTGCTGTCATTGGTTCTTTTTTGACAATTGACGCGCAAATGGGGCGTGTTATGAAAAGGGGCGTTTTACAAAATACCAGGCCTTGCATGCAGGCCCACTATCAGTTCCCTTGGGCCTGCACGCGGGCTATTCTTACCATTACACTCATAAACATTCATTATTTGTATAACATATGATCCTATAAATGCTTGGCAAATTTGAAAAAATCTGTTTCTTGAAGTTGCTGATAAGCATGCATGCATGCATGCTCCAGTGAAACAAAGAAGGATAAGGAAAACTGGTGCCCCATGGAAACTTTGCAGCGCAAATTCCAACAACTGGTACGGTTTCTTATAACATTCCACACCAATTGGTACTGAAGTTTTTGAATTACATGAAGTTACCCCATCCCAAATATGTGGATTAATTTATAAATTATCGACCTCCAAGTCTAGTGGTCTTGACAACATTCCTGTCCGTTTATTAAATAGAGAATAATACATGGGTGCGCGGAAATACCAGATTTATTTCGAGTGTTGAACATGATATCTCACGAGTGAGCGCAGCGAACGAGTGAGATATCATGTTCAACACGAGAAATAAATCTGGTATTTCCAAGCACCCATGTATTTTTTTGTTTATTATATAAAGGACAGTCTTTGAAAAGCGATAATTTTTACAGAAAAGAGATAATTGAAAAGCGATAATTTTCCCATGTGAGATTATCATAAATAATCTCACATGTGAGATTATCACTTTTATTAGTGCTTGAAATCTCTATAAAGCACTATACTTTATATAATAAAACTAATTAATCCCACTGCTGTCGTTTCACTTACTCACATAATCAATCCAGTAATTCTTAAGGGAATTATTCCTGCTGACTAGAAGTGTGTCAAGGTAGCAGCAATTTATATAAGCATGCTTCATTCAACGTTAACAGCTATGCTTGATGCCACTGATAAATGGTACATTGGTACACAAATAAGGACAGTGGGTTAATTATAATGCTATAATAAAATAATAAATAAAACGATTGATCTTTCTAGAAATTATCTTTCTGATCGTACTCAATTAGCAGTTACTAACAACATACGGTCTGATATTCGTAAAGTAACATGTGGTGTTCCTCAGGGGTCAATTCTAGGTCCACTACTGTTCCTAATAATTATATATATATATATATATATATATATATATATATATATATATATATATATATATATTGGGGGGGGGGGC